TTGTCATTGTTTTAGCTGGCTTGGGCCAGTTTAAACCTGCCAGCCTCAGTGTATGTGGCTGGCGCCTTATCCACTGAGCTATAGGCGCCTCCCAGACTATTTTGAAAGCAATTTTTTTAATGACTTTCCTCAAATCTTCCTAAAACATTTATCTTTTATTCTGCAAACAATAGCCTTTTCATTTTATACTGATTTGTGTAACTTAATTTTTGTAGTGCATTGGCGAGTATGAACAGCTGATTCTTGGTAAGCACATGGGTCAGCAAGTTGGTATGGAAGGGCACAGCATGCTATAGAGTAGTTTATCCACCCTGACGCCCCATAGTGTTACAATTTTCTATCAGCATATTTTGTAGAAAGATGGAGAGTTAATACAGTGTGCTGCTTAAGAGAATGACTGCTACATTATTTTTTAAGACTACATATTTTTTATTTCAGTTGATGTGTGTTTGAATTCTACCATATACTATGTAAAGAATCGTAGTCATTACAATCAAGGCTTAGGACATAAGAGGAAACACCCAATTTTCTTTTACTTTCTCCGTTTCTCCCTCTGCAGGTGGGTCCTATGTGTATGAACTCAGCGCAGTCCTCATACACAGGGGAGTGAGTGCTTACTCTGGCCACTACATCGCCCATGTGAAAGATCCACAGTCTGGTGAATGGTATAAGTTTAACGACGAAGACATAGAAAAGATGGAGGGGAAGAAATTGCAACTAGGGATTGAGGAAGATCTAGGTAAAACCTTTAAGTTGTGAGTGCCCTTTTAAAATATAAATTTTTTTCCCAGAAATATTTGTGATAAACTATTGTGGTCCAAGATTATTATGGATTGTCAAGGATATTTACATTTTTTAAACACACCAAACATCTTTTATTAGCAGTGTCTGCTTTTTTGTTTTGTTTTGTTATTAAAAAAAAAAAAAGATAGGATCTCATTTCTGCCACCCAGGCTGGAGTGCAGTGGTGCAATCATATAATAGCTTACTGTAACCTCCAACTCTTTGGATTAAAGCTATTTTTTTTTTTTTACCTCAGCCTCAGAGTAGCTAGGACTGCAGGCATGGACCACCTCACCTAATTAATTTCTTTTACATGTCTTTTTAGTAAATACAGAGTCTCGTGATGCCCAGGCTGGTCTAGAACTCACAGCCTCAGTTAATCATCCCTCACAGCCTCCCAAAGCACTGGGATTATTCACACGAGCCACTGCCTGCTTTTTGAAAATTGAGCTTAAAAATTATTTTGATTCAGAGGTAGTTTTCATAATATCATGCTTTCAGTAAAGCTTGACGACAAATAGTTTTCACTTACAGGATTTATTTTAGAGGGCAAGCGAGGGTGGTGGATATTAAGCTAAAAGTGATGAATAGATTTTAAATAAGTTGAGATTTGTAGTCCTTTTCCTTGGGTCAGGAATTAACTCCAGCTGAGAACTTGGCTACTCCCTGTAAGTATCTCACCCCATTGCTAGAGGGTGGACCAGTGCCTCTGTGGGAAGTGAGCTGTTTGATGTTGTGTAGTGAGGCCTATCATAAATAGGCTTATTGAAGTAGTGTCCCAATATGTGCCTCTTGTCACATCAGTTGTCTAGGGCCCAAGTACCCGTGTATTTCCCAAGGTGGTACGTAATTCTGGCTGGAGCACTCTCTCCTAAGCAGTTTATTACTATCTTCCATGTCCATCATTTTGCGTGAGGCTCAGACTCTGGGCTCTGAGTAGGAGAAAAGGAATGGGAGTAGGTGTGCATCTCCTGCCACTGTTCTTTCCTAACGGATCAAAGCCACTTTTCCAAGATGTCCAGTAGGGAGGAGCATGGCAGTTGGCTGTTGAGGCATATGGCTCATCTCTGCAAATATTCATGTGGTGGCTACATTCTTATAGTTTGGAGAAATGTTTTCTGTTTTTAAATTCCATTTACATGTTTAAAGACCAAACAGTCTTGCTTCCATTTTTCCTATTCAAATTCTTCACTTTTGCTTATAGAGTATATGTTTTTATTGTGACATTCTCACTGGGAACAGAATTGAGATGTAACTTTAAATTGTGAATAATTATGTCTTAGTTTTACCTGACTGCTGTCTCATCCAAGTTCTAACCAGGCCCAACCCTACGTAGCTTCTGAGATAAAAAGACCTGGCATGTTCAGGGTGGTGTGGTTAGGTAGACTATTTCAGTGTTCTATACTGAAATTTATTTGAGCTATCTTCGTTTAGTCAGAGTAGGATTAAAAGCATTGTTAAAGCTGTCCTGTCCATCTTCTATGTATTAGTCATCCTAAATTTAATTTATTTTTTTTATTTTTTCTATTTTCTTTTCTTTTCCCTTCCCTTGCCCCCCGGTCATCCTAAATCTTAAAACAATTCAAGAAAAAGATTTCACACCCAGCAGTATCCCATTCCAATGTTTTAATAACTAATTATTACATGTAATGTATATTGTAAGCTTTCATCTGTTTTTAATCAAAAATAGAAAATATTTGTTAAATTCCATTAGATATTCATTACTGTATTCTATTGTGAATTTTAACTAATGAACATTTTAAATCTTGAATACTCTTCAGGTAGAAATGAATTGACTAACCTCATCTTGACTGAACATGCTTTTGGTTATTTTAATTTCCTATGAGAGTACAGTGGTCTTGGTCTTTGCTCAAGTATTAGCCATAAGAATGCCGAATAAATTTTGTTTTTCTCTCTACTTTTTAAAATCCAACATATTTCATCATAAATTTAAGTAGCTCCAAATAATGTATTTTATGACAAATTACAAATATTGAAACTTACACAGCAACATTACTCTTTAAACAGAGTACTAATGAAATTGAATACCATAGAGATTTGATATCCACTGCTACCCTTTTCAAAGATACATAAACTGGTCTTCTTTTTTATTAATAATAGCACATTTTTAACACTTTATTCTAATGGGCTTGCTAAGTTTTTTGTGACCTCAGACCTCTAAATAGTGAAAAAATTCCAGATAGAGTGTTATTTTTGAAATTACAAATATTAATACATAATTTGACTCAAAAGCTTATACAGTTTATTAAAGTAAAATTTTTTTAAGTACGTCTTTCAGTGAAATGGGTGAAACCTGTCATGAAGGGGGAGACAGATGATGGTGACAGAAGGTAGAAACCGTTGTGGAACCTTAATGTTGAGGTTGGCCAGTTTTAGAAATGTACAGAGTGAATTTAGGATCTGGTAATTGGATTTTCCCAGATCCGCACACCACCTCTTACATCTTGGAAAATTATCCTGCGATACTGAGACACAGTTTGAAGATTCCTTTTCCGTGATATCCTTGCCACCTCAAACACTGAAGGTTTTTTACTTGCTACTGAGTTCATGGCGATGAGTGGCTAATCTTTTTGATTATTAGCATTTCATTCCATTTCCCCAAATAAGCTGTTTTATTTCTTCAGGCAATTAAGACTGGATTTATTTTTATTATTTTGACTAAGTTAAAGAGCGTCTCTTTACTAAAATTATTTACTGATCTAGTTTTTGTCTTTTAAATTTTACATATACATTTATATACTCTTTGATTATTTAAAAAAAAATACTAAAATAAGTACTTGCATGCCAAGCGCTCAGATTAAGAATAAAAATGTTACAAAGAGATTTAAATTCCCTTGGTTCCTTCCACAATTACATCAGCTTGTGTTAATTTTATAATTTAAGACTAACGTTAATGCTAACTCATAAGTAATAGTACTTTTTTTTTCAGTTCCAGGTTCTCAGGAAAAATAGTGTTTTCTTTTTTGGAGGGGTAGTAAACTTTTTTAAATATACAAAAATCTAAAGAGCCCACTGAATTTTTGTATGCCTTTTAATGTTTTGGATCCAGATTAGAGGATCTTAGGTGTGTATTTTGGAAAATATTTTCTATGGACCCCCTACCTACCCAAAGAATGAGCAAACTGTAGGCATTCCAGTTAAGTCGCCTTTTGATTTCTCTACCTCAGCAGAACCTTCTAAGTCCCAAACACGTAAACCCAAGTGTGGCAAAGGAACTCACTGCTCTCGAAATGCGTACATGTTGGTTTATAGATTGCAAACTCAAGAAAAGCCCAACACAACTGTTCAAGTTCCAGGTGAGCAATTTTCCAGGGTTTAATCAGGCAAGAGTTTGAGAATACCATCCTTGAGGGTTAATGACAAGCAACAGATTGCTTTTATTTATTCTGATAGGTTGATGCCATATGATAAATGCGGGCGAAAAGAATTATTAATCACAAATTTGCTTTAAAGTAGTGAGCTTTTAAAATAAAGTAGTGGCAGAACTAGTCTGCTGACCTCCCTTAAAGAAAAGCAAAAGCAATTTTTTTTTTTTTTTTTTTGAGACAGAGCCTCAAGCTGTCCCCCTGGGTAGAGTGCCGTGGCATTACAGCTCACAGTAACCTCCTACTCCTGGGCTCAAGCGAGTCTCTTGCCTCCGCCTCCCAAGTAGCTGGGACCACAGGTGCCCGCCACAACACCCGGCTATTTTTTGGTTGCAGCCGTCATTGTTGTTTGGCGGGTCCGGGCTGGGGATTCGAACCCGCCACCTTAGGTGTACGTGGCTGGCGCCTTAGCCGGGTGAGCTACAGGCGCCGAGCCAGCAAAAGCAATTTTTAAAAATTACAAAAATGATTAAGACAAAACTGTAATTTTGGTTTTATTTTGTTTGTAGAGCACTAGTGAGTTTTCGTCAGTTATTTATAGACTTTTTAGATCTTTAAAACAAAAAAGAGGAAGAGCTGCTGGCCTGATGGTAGTCGGTAGTCTTTGTCATTTTTCTTAGTACTAACTATTCTATGTTCTGTGACATCATCCATTTTGAAGTGGTGTTTTTTGAACCATTTAATTGTTCTGGGAGGTTGATGATGTCATAGAGAGCTGGGGTAGGGGACGGGGGATCAACCTGGTATCACTCCATTGGTCGTCTTCAGTTTTATTTCTGCCTTCGTGTTGGAGGTCGTCAACAGCAGGGAAGACCACAGTAGGAAATGGCGGCCAATGTTTTAGCCAGTATTTAATATAATGTAGAGAAAAGCACATGGTTCTCTGTTTTTGGAAACCAGAATAAAGTTATTTTTTGTCTTTCTGTTTTGAATAGCCTTTCTTCAAGAGCTGGTAGATCGGGATAATTCAAAATTTGAGGAGTGGTGTATTGAAATGGCCGAGATGCGTAAGCAAAGTGTGGATAAAGGAAAAGCAAAACACGAAGAGGTTAAGGAGCTGTACCAAAGGTTACCTGCTGGAGCTGGTCTGTAAGATATTTTGGGACAGCACTGTTGCCATTAAGTGCCTTGTTTTCTTTATGTTCACAAATGTATATGAACAAACTTCCTCCTATCTTTTCTTACAACACCATACAGCCAGCTTATACACTCTAAAATTACTGTGTAAACCAGCAATACCTTGATGTGTAGCATTCCATATCATTTAAATTATCTTGTACTTTAAAAGGAGTGGTTGTTAATAAATTATAAGATTTAGGTCAGCACTCTGCATACCTGAGTCTTGTAGATATACCTATCTGTGAGATATTAACTTGTTTCTAAAGAAAAATCTGATTACAATTGGGAGCACGTTGCTTATTCTGTTTCTTTGGATACTTTGTGCCCTGACAGAATTAAGAGGCATTCTTTTATATGGATGCAATTTTTTGACTATAATTTTTGATACTATTTGATGAACTTGAAATTTAATATAAAATGTTAAGAGAAGAAAAGCTCTCTGCTGACCCTTGATTTCTTAGAATTATCCCATGTAATCCAGCTCATCTCATTACTATTGAATATGTTTATTCAAGTTTATAGTGTCTCAGAAAAGAAACCAACTTCATTAAGGCTGATATGCCATTTGTAATAAGTTATCTTTGTCATTTCACAGACATGAATTCCCCCAACCTAACTCTTGCTTACAGAAGATAAACAATTTAATCCCACCTTTAGAAAATAAATACTCAAGCATAATTATACTTGTGGTTTTGTCTTTTTAATATCTTTAATTTTCCATTACTGGTATAACTTTAAATGGAAGATGAATATAAATTGCTAAATCTGTAAGAGTAGATACAAGCTTTTTCTAAACTACATCTTAATTTGATCCTGACCCTTCTTTGTAACCTCTTTCTTTAACTTTGTCCAAGGGTTGGGATTATCCTAAAGAATTAGACCTTAATTTAACTGGAAATGATTTGGAAATGAACCCATGACTCAAATCTCCAAATTTACAGGTCTTTGTTCAGGAAGTTGGGACCTAGAAATCTATTTTCTGAACTGTATTCACAGTTCCTGTATTCACTGGGCAAGAGAAAAGGACTTACTGGGTCTAAAGAGAAATTCTATTTTGAACCACTCCTTAGAACTATATAGTTCAAAGATGTTTATGTGTTAACACTGTGTTTCCCTTGGCTGTTTTCATTCAGCGTGTAAGAACCTATACCTATGTTCTTAGGCTATGTTATTTATACTTTCACCAATTCGTAGTTTTATAATTTTTTTCCATTTGCAGTAAACTTACGTAGTGAAAATTCCATGTCCTAAAATGATATAAAATCTCAGTTAATGACCATGGTTTTGTGCTGGTAATGAAAATTTTTGGTGTGCACTTTCTAAATCTTATCTTTGTGAACATATTTTGAAAATGGCCACTTACCCTAAAATCTAAGCCTCGTGGGAACACCCTTTGACCCTTTTAAGTTCAAATATTTTAAAATTATCACTAGTTAAGGTGTTTCAAATATATTTTATGCTATGATTGTTCTAGACTTTATAACCTTACAGCAGAAAGCTATTTTAAAAATCCAGGCTTTTTTTTTTTTGATTAGAAATAATTTTTAGCCCAAAATGTGTAGTTCCCCTTTGGCAAATATTTTAACGATTGTTTTCCTGTTTCATCTAATGCTGAAATTTCATATAGTCTGATCTCTCCAACTTGATAATGAGGTAGAGGTGTCAGTCCCATTTGGTCATTGATTGTGCCTTTGGAACTCCATACTTAGGTAGTTCACCGAAACACAAATACTACAGAATCTGCTTTTACTGTGAGACTTGCAGTAGACACTCTTCTCAGGGATGCTCTTGGCAGAGATTGATGCATCTCTTTATGGTGCTAAACATTGAAAATGGAAAGAGAAAGAAAAACCTCTGTGACCACAGTTTCTTCTGCCCATGGATCCCATAGTACACTAAAATGAAATCTGGCTGAGTTAATAATAAATACAGTATTAGGATTAGACATATGGGTGCAGTTGCTTTCTTCCTTCCTCTTCTTACTATAAAATAATATGTGGTTTTTCTACTCTTCATATCTTATATTAAATTCATTTCGAACTATTCAAAAACTGAAACAACAAGCTTCACTTGCAAGTTTTCTATGGGATTGGACAATATCTTGCACTAACTGCATTTGAGTCATATTGTTGGTGGACAGGTCAGGGGTACAGTTACCCTAGGCCTTGAATTCCCACAGACATCTCCTGGCAAGGACTGCTTTGTGTATTTTTAGTTCCCCTAGATTCCTTTCATTTATTGTAATGGCCAGGATTCTTACATTTATTCTTCCAATTAAGTGGGTTATTTGCCCACTTAATTGCCCTCTATTCTCCCCTCCCCAGAGGCTAGGGAGACTAGAACACCTAGTGAATTATTCTTGAAGGTTGTTCTTTATCACAATCCTGGTTTTTTTTTTCTCTGATAGCCTTCAAGATTACTCAGAATTTTAAGCTATCTTACTATATTTGAGAGAAGATTAGATATGCTGAGATTTTTTATTTTGCTCTTCGATAAGGAGCAAATATCTTTTACATTCTTTAGATATTCATTGTTCTCTGTCCCTGGGAGATTAAACTTGATACATGGCAAATAAAATTGAGAGGTATTTTGAGTGTAATTAACCATACCATGATATGTTGTAAAATGCCACAGCTATGTTACCCATACTGCATCTTAAGGTCTCCCCTCTCATAGATTGTGTGAATGTATAATTAACTGTTCTATATCTCTTTTCTTCCAAAAAGCTCAAAATGCTTCATATATCTTATCTTTTACACTCAACAACATCCCTTTGAGGTAGGTAGAAGGCAGGTATTATTACCTTCATTTTACAAATAAAAGACTTAAAGCATAGAGAGTTTAAGTGACTTGCTCAAGTTTAGTTTCTTGGTGGCAGAACTTGGATTAGACCTTGGTCTCAACTTGCAGACTTGTGCTCTTTCTCTGTACCCGAATTAGAGCTGACTAGTCAGAAGGCTCTCCGATGATGTTGTACAGTGCCAAATTTTGTTTTTGTAAAAATTGAAATGTTTGATACTAAAGTTAAAATGGGAGTTAGTTTTCTAGATGTGTAACTCTCCGGGGAGTATAAAATTGGTCAAAATGGGCTTTGCATTGAAGTGTCTATCCCTCAGATCTCATCAGAAGGAGTATATAACACAAATATATAAATTCAACCTCTGTATGTTTTCTTCTATGTTTTATGCTGGGACTCACTGGAGATCTTTGTAAGTAATCAAAGCTGGCCCTTTATCTTTAATTTTGGCTTTTAAGGAACTCTGGGATTCCCTCTCCCCAATTAAAACTTGTTTTGAGGTGTTTGGTTTTATCTTTGAATTTTTGCAACTTCAAAATTGATAATAATTCCGTTCTAGTGTACTTCATCCTGGAACTTGTTTAAAACAGGCTGCTTTCTTGAAATAAATATAACATAATGAACAGATCATGGAATGGATTTGGGTGGGGGAATTAAGTACCTTTTCAAAATCAACATCAGCATCATCTTGGATGAAGAACAGTCCACTGATTGAAGTGGACTTGTAAAGTGTAGTTACAGCTGACTAGGTTAATTCCTAATTTAGAGCTCAGTCTGGCTTCTCATTTTAATTCTCAGCTGTATTTCACATATTTGTGAAACGTGTTGATGAACATAAGTTATGAAGTAAACCTACTAGACGATAAGGTTGTATGATTTGCAAGCCAGTGTGGAGCATGACTTGTAGTCAACAAACGGGTGTCCTGATCAAAGCTCTGCTGTGCTATCAAGCAAGACACTGCTCTCTGTGGATGCCTCTTGTAGAATGTGGTTAATAATACCAGCCGATCTCAGAGTACCGTGCAGACTCAGCATCACACTGCACAGTTCCTTGGAACTCAGAGGAGTGGTAGTTAAATGGAGCTTTGTGTCATCCTCATCAAACATCTTGCCCAAACAATGATTCTTCTGATTCTGCTAACTTTGGACAGAGTGTGCGTTGTCTTATGAGGAAGATGAATATATCATTTAGTCAAAAAAATGTAAAAATACATAGATTCTTTTCAATGCTTTCTTCCCTAGAGCCCTATGAGTTTGTCTCTCTTGAATGGCTGCAGAAGTGGTTGGATGAATCGACACCTACCAAGCCTATTGATAATCACGCTTGCCTGTGTGCTCACGACAAGCTTCATCCAGATAAAATATCAATTATGAAGAGAATATCTGAATATGCAGCTGACATTTTCTACAGTAGATATGGAGGAGGTCCAAGACTAACTGGTAATTCGAGATGTCTTCTCTGCTAAAAAAGAAAGAACGGTGCACTGAGTCTTCATCTTAAGGTCTTTTTGAGTGGGGCTTATGATGATGTGACCCAAACCATGCTAAACCACATGTTCCTTGTCCTTTGCAGAAAAGATTTACTGAATGAAGTAGAAATAAAGTGACTGGTGCTATTTGTGGAGGATTGGGTTTTCTTTCTTTCTGTCCCCTCAAAGCAGACAAAATATGACCCTTTTGGGGGGAAAAAAAACTACAGACCTACATGAGAAAAAAACTCGGTTAAATTTTGAGAAGGGGGAATCGAGGAAGGGGATTAGTAAAGTCCCATCTAACCCGTACAGTGTACGGATACATGGCAAACTTTTAGGCGAAGGACAGAGCTACATCTTGGACTTTACCTTTCAGAAACAAGCAATGTACCCTGATCGCATATACCCTCATATCAATCTGAAATTAAAGAAAAAAGCCATTGGCAGTAGTTGGTTAGTTTGTGCTGTGTATAATACTCTTCAAGGCACCTGAACTCTTGTCTGGGTGGTGGCATCTCCCTGCAGTGCCTTGCTTCGGAGAATTCTAACAGTGTGCTGTGTTGTTAGGATGGTCTTGAGCTTGAATTCCTGGCCTCAAGCAATCTTCCCACCATTGTTCTTTATATAGAGAAACAATACTGCTGCCTTGGCATCCATAGGACCAAAATAGGGTGTAAACCAGTTTACCATATCGTCAAAATTTTTAGCTTTGGCTCAGAAGTTGAATGTGTTTGTGAAGTGCCGAGACCTTTTCCTAACAGAAAGTCTGTGTGTGAATGAACTGTATTTCCCTTCATTCTTTCTTGCCTTTAGTGAAAGCCCTGTGTAAGGAATGTGTGGTAGAACGTTGTCGTGTATTGCGCCTGAAGAACCAGCTCAACGAAGATTATAAAACTGTTAATAACCTGCTAAAAGCAGCAGTGAAGGGGTATGTCGCACAGTGTACGTTGTTTATTAGACGTTTTCAAGAGGTAATTACCAAACAGCTTATTACTTATTGAAAATAAGAAATAAGGATTTTTAAAAGAAGCGGTGAAGTAGATGGCAGAATCAGACCGAAAAAAAGCACTGTTTTGCGGTGATTGTCTTGTGATAAAGAAAACTTAGTCAGACAGCCTTTGCAATTGTGTTCTCTCCATTAGAAAGGAAGAAGAAGCAGAAATGTGGATTTGAGACCTGACCAGACTGAGGCAGAGGGTTAGCCTGGGCTCTGGTACAAAATAGTACAAAGCTTACGTTACAAGGAAAGGCATTCCTGGCAGGCCTGCAGATGCTCCACCGAGTATACCATTTCTTAGAAACTTTCAGGGTACTTGTTCTATGTTGAACTCCATTCCATAGAATGCCTACCTCTGGACCTAGGAACCAATAGAAGACGACAGTTAAAAGAGAGATTTGTTATGTCTGGGTTCAATTTAAGTTTTTTATTTCCCAAACAATAATCTAGTTCACTGAATGTATATATTTGAACAGACACGGATGTATGTGTATATATGTGAATGTCCATACGCCCTACCTAAAGACAGAGCTGTACACAATAGTGGATAATAAGTGAAAGGAAGTGGCCATTCGATTGGTGTGCTTGGCATGAATATAAACGAGGAGTAGGAGAAGTAGGATGAGAGTTATAGTGGAAACAAAATATTACATACCTGTAATTCTATAGTGAGGAATGAGAAGGGCCAAAATGAGAAAGTAGAATTAAAAAAATGTGTACACTGTAGCCGATTTTAAGTGTTTGAATTTCATTTTAGTTGTAGGCTTTACAAGGAAAGAAGCAAACACTAGGAAGTGTTGCTTGTACGATTTACCATTCTCTCTGTTCCACAGCACGGATGGATTTTGGGTGGGAAAATCCTCCTTGCGGAGTTGGCGCCAGCTGGCTCTCGAACAGCTGGACGAGCAAGATGGCGACACAGACCACAGCAATGGAAAAATGAATGGCAGCACCTTGAATAAAGGTGACGTTTTAACTCTGTGTGTAAATCATTGTGGAAATACACCATGAAATTATAAACATCTCACTTTTAGTAAGATTGGTTTAATACCCAGCCATGTAATTTTGAAGACAACTCTTTATTAAACCAAAAGCTCTCAAAAAATAGCTCAGGGCAAATAAAAGATTTTTAAGCTATTGTAATGCAGCAGGGACTCAGCTCACATGTGGAATTTTCCTTTATAACTTATCATGCTTTGGGCTTGAGCTCTCTCAAGTTAATCACATGCACAATTAATCTTAATTCTGCTCTAGGCTAAAAGTTTAAAGAAAGGTTAAGTCTACTGCGAATTGCGTAGCGTAATGTAAGCTCAGTACATTTTGGTTTTAGATTATCTGCCACACTTAAAGGCTGTCTTCGTCAATCAGATGACCTTGTACTTGTGCCTTTTTCATCAAGGAGAGAGGGCAGCTTAAGAATAGCCTTTGCTTGTATATTCTTCTGAGGTCTCTGAAGCTATGCTTTCAAATAGAAAATTATGTTACTGTAAATCAACCAATAAATTGAATTACGTATAATCAGTAAGGCATTAAAATTATTTTTAGATTTAAAATGGAGACTAATGGTTTAAACAGATTTACTAATTTAGGAATTAGCTACCCATAGCATATTGGGATCCATAAACAATTACTTCACTTAAATTTCTTATTTTTATTTTATTTTCAAATTTTTATTTATTTCTTGAGACATTCTTACTTTGTCACTCTGGGGTTAAATGCTGTGGTGGTGTCATAGCTCACATTAACCTGTTTTTTGGGCTTAGGTGATCCTCTTGCCTCAAACTCCCAGGTAGCTGGGATTACAGGCATCCACCACAATGCAGCTGGTCTCACAATCCTCAGTTCAAACAATCTGCCCACCTCAGCCTCCCAGAGTGCTAGGATGAGCTGTCACGCCTGGCCTATTTTTTAATTTTTTATAGAGATGAGTGTCTCACTATGTTGAGCAGGTTGGTCTTGAACTCCTGGTCTCAAACAGTCTTCCTGCCTCAGCCTCTCAAAGTTGGGATTATATATAGGGCATCATCCACAGTGCCTGGCCCAATTTTCTTATTTTAAAATATTAATATTTTTAATCATTTTAATATTCTTAACCTTTTTATTGAAATATTCCGTTGATGCATTTAAACATTTTCTGTCATTTATATAATTTCAAATTATATTTATGTTATTTAGTATGGGTCTTCCCATAATACAAAATCACTGTTTGTTTTAAGCTTCTTGAGCTGTGGCTTTTAACATTTTTATTTTTCGGCTTGGCGCCTGTGGCTTAAGCAGCTAGGGCGCCAGCCACCTAAGGTGGCGGGTTCGAATCCAACCCAGGCCCTCCAAACAACAATGACAGCTGCAACCAAAGGATAGCCAGGCGTTGTGGCGGGCACCTGTGGTCCCAGCTACTTGGGAGGCTGAGGCAGGAGACTCACTTGAGCCCAGGAGTTGGAGGTTGCTGTAAGCTGTGATGCCATAGGACTCTACCCAGGGGGACAGCTTGAGGTTCTTGTCTCAAAAAAAAAAAAAAAAAAATTTAATTTTGAAGTGTTTTTTACTTTCAATTAAAATATTGTGCTGTTTAGTTCATGAACTCAACATAATTTGAGTTTTATTGTCCTACATTTGAAAAACCATACTGTAATTTTAGTGGTATCACATGACCTAGTATTAAGTATTTATTGCTCTTTTGAGCCTTTTTATATGTCAGTGTCTGTTGCTTTTCAGTTAAGTTGAATGCCATAATAGAAAGTGCCTTGATGGGCAGCACCCGTAGCTCAGAGGATAGGGCGCCAGCCACATACACTGAGGCTGGTGGGTTCAAACCCTGCCCAGGCCTGCTAAAACAACAAGGGCAACTGAAAAAAAAATAAGCATTGTGTCGGGCATCTGTAGTCCCAGCTACTTGGGAGGCTGAGACAAGAGAATCACTTGAGCCCAAGAGTTTGAGGTTGCTGTGAGCAATGAAGTCACGGCACTGTACTAAGGGCGACATAGTGAGACTCTGTCTCAAAAAAAACAAAAAAAGTACCTTGATGTTGGCCTAGCTTAAAAATATTTTTCCTGTTGCTTTCAGGATAATGTGCCTTTCTTCTCCTCCCCGCATTCAAAAATTTTAAAAGCTGGAAGCAGCACAAAGATAACAAAGCAGAACAAAGCCCTCCCAGCAAATACGATCACCTGAACAGTGGCTTTTTATAATGGAGCTCATATAGGCACAGTTCATCTCCCCCTGTCAAAGCATGGCGCTCTTTTTATTTAGAGGCTGCATTTCACTGTGTGGATATATTGTATGTTTATTTAACTGATTCCATTCCAATTTTTTACAATTACTATATAAGCACAGATACAGGAAGCATCTTTATGTGTCCTATATATACATCTTTGTGTGATTTTCGGATTATTTCTGAGGAATAAATTCTAGAAAAGGCTGGATCAGAGAAACATACACCTTTATTAATTATCACATACTGATCCATCCTGGTACAAAGAGCCTGTGGCCTTCTGATTTCAAGATTGTTCTTTTTTTAAGCACCAAAGGTAGAAAAGCTTCATCATCCTCTGCTGTACCTTTTTTCATAAAAGGGTTTGTGGCAGGCATGGTGGCTCACTCCTGTAATCCTAGTCCTCTGAGAGACCAAAATAGGAGGATTGCTTAAGCAGAAGAGTCCAAGACCAGCATGATTTGGAGCAAGACCTGTCTCTATCAAATTGAAAAATTAGCCAGGCCTTACACTAGGTGCCTATAATCCCAGCTACGTAGAGGCTGAGGCAGGAGGATCACTTGAGCCCAGAAGTTGGAGGTTGCAGTGAGCTATGATGATGCCACTGCACTCTACTTAGGGTAACAGAGCATGACTCTGTCACCCCCACCCCAATAATAATTAAGGAATAAATAAATTGGATTTGTTATGTAAAATTTGGGTTTAGTCTAAAGGTTGCACTTAAGGATCTAAAAGACCATATGTGGCCTTAAAAGGCCTCTGGTCCCCATCCCTGATTTTTTTTTTTTTTTTTTTTTGCAGTTTTTGGCTGGGGTTGGGTTTGAACCCACCACCTTCAGCATATGGGGCCAGCACCCTACCCCTTTGAGCCACAGTTGCTGCCCCCATCCCTGATTGTTGATAAATTTCCTCCAATGCATGTGAGAGGTCTCATTTTTGCATGCTTTTGTCAACCTAAATACATCATTCTTGTCCATTTTTATTCATCTCATATAGGAAAATGAGCAATACTGAGGCTTACATATTTCAAATTATTACTGAGATGGACCATTGTCTCATGTTGGAGAAGTTATTTGTATTTGTGTGACAAAGAGAAAGTGGAAACAGAATTATCTAATCATGTCCTTCACCCCCTTTTCTGCTTGAACCTTTTTAATAATTAGTAAATATTCTTTGTATGCATTAAGTGTATTAAAAATGTGGTAGGTACTTGACCTGGAAAACCCATGGGTAACTATTCTAATCTCCTGATACTTAAGATTTCTTTATTTGATCATGTATCCAGTATACACAACTACAGATTGACAGTGACACATTACAGACAATTAGGGAAAGCAGATACTGTAAGAGAATTGTTAACAAAAAAAGTATATTTGGCTCAGGGCCCATAACTCAGCGGTTAGGGCACTGGCCACATACACCAAGGCTGGTAGGTTTGAACTGAGCCAGGGCCTGTAGTTGTTGACAACTACAACAACAACAAAATAGCCAGGCGTTGTGGTGGGCGCCTGTAGTCCCAGCTACTTGGGAGGCTGAGACAAGAGAATTGCTTAAGCCCAAGAGTTTGAGGTTGCTGTGAGCTGTGACACCATAGGCACTCTACCAAGGGCAACAAAATGAGACTTTGTCTCACAAAAAAAAAAGGAAAGAAAGAAAAGAAAAAAAAAAAGTTTCTTATTATATAGTAGTTATGTAACTGTGTGTTATGTATATGTATGTCATATATATAGTTCTTATTATAGTAAACCCCCATATCTACAGTTTTGATTTTCATGGTTTCAGTCACCTATAGTCAGCTATGGTCTAAAAATAATCAATGGAAAATTCCAGAAATAAACAATTCACGAGTTTAAATTAAGACACCATTCTAGGTAGCATGATGAAATACCCCGCCATCCTGCTGCTTCCTTCCTGGCCGTTGATTTGTCTGATACCAACATTGTTGCCCTACACGATCACTGGTCCCTTAGTTTCCCTCTTGTCAAATGGGCTGTTGCAGTGCTTGTGTTTAAATCAGCCTTATTTTACTTAATAATGGCCACAAATACCAAGAGAAATGATGCTTGCAATTGGGATATGCCAAAGAAAAGCCCTAAAATGCTTCCTTTTGGTGAAAAAGGTGAAAATTCTTGACTTGGCTCAGCGTCTGTGGCTCAAGTGGTTAAGGCGCCAGCCACATACACCTAAGGTGGCAGGTTCGAATCCCCAGCCCGGGCCCGCCAAACAACAATGATGGCTGCAAACAAAAAATGGCCAGGCGCTGTGGCGGGCGCCTGTGGTCCCAGTCACTTGGGAGGCTGAGGCAGGAGACTCGCTTGAGCCCAGGAGTTGGAGGTTTCTGTGAGCATGATGCCATGGCACTCTACCCAGGGGGACAGCTTTGAGGCTCCGTCTCAAAAAAAAAAAAAAAAAAGAAAATTCTTGACTTAATATAAAGGAATGAAAGAAAAAGTCCTTTGTTACGGTTGTTAAGATCTATACTTGATCTTAGCCAAAAGTCTGAGAAATGATAGGGTTGTTAAGATCTATGGTAAGAATGAGTTCTGTCCCTGAAATTATGATGAAGAAAAAAGAAATTTGTGTTAGTTTTGTTGTGATCCTCCAATTACAGAAGTTTATGACAATAGTATATGATAAATGCTTGTTAAGATGGAAAAAGCATTCAGTTTATGGATGGGGACATGAAGAGAAATGTGTTCCAGTTGATGACAGTCAAGTTCACTACTCTCTGAGGTTTCCCATATCCAGGGGGGCTTGGAACATATATCCCCTATTGATGAGGAGAGACTACTGTATGTATACGTTTGATGTTAAAGGTTAAATCCTTATTTCATTTGCCTTTAAAGCTTTGTGTTCAACCCCTAAAAGAGTCGAGAGGTAAAATGACATGACATATGATGTAGATGACTAACTAGGTTTATGCCACAGTATTCTGAAGACTTTGGCTAGAATTAATAGGAAGAATATGTAAATTATTTTTCAAATTGAAGAAAGGCACATCTTCTTGTGTAACCTAAATCTTTAAAAAGTTAGCTGTCATCGAGATAGTTTCTTTCCTTGTAAGGGAAAGAAATATAACATTTCTTAGCAGAACTGAGTAGGAATCACTTGAGTCTAATTTTGAAAATGTTTTAAAGTTTTCTTTGTTCAAAAATTGTGCAGAATAGTACCTATGCCGCTTTGAACTTTAAATACAACCGCAGTAGTCATTATCTGTTACTTCTTTTGATTAGATGAATCAAAGGAAGACAGAAAAGAAGAGGAGGAGGAATTAAATTTTAATGAAGACATTCTCTGTCCACATGGTAAGTTGGAAATGTGAATCTGTTTTACTGTTTCTTACCTTCTGTTTTGTCACTGTTCGCTTTCATGCCTCTGCTTTGCACCTTGCAAAATTTTTTAAATAGGATTTTCCCATATTTTGAAGGAAATTACTGGAGGTGAAATTTTTGTCACTTACTATGTTGAGGACTTTTTGTCCCGTAACACATTGATGGGCTTTAAGTCTGAAGGGATGAATTTCATTTGTTTTCATGACTATTCGTCGTTGTTCAGTTTGAACACTTTGAGAATAGGGTTTGTGTGTTTCTCCTTTTTATTAGGGTTATCTGTGCTATAATTTCTTAAACATTTATTGAGTAGCTGCTGTGTAATGTGCTACTTTTAACAGACAATAAATTCTAAATCCTTATTTAGTCCTGTGTATTTGTTCAGGTATTTTTTAGTTGGTCTTAGTGAATGGTCACTTGTAATAAGTACCTTTTGCAAGATCGCGGTGCAAGGGATTCATTGTATATAAGACATAATGTTCTAATAGCACTCTGGAAGTCAAACAAACAGGTATCTACTTTTCTGTTTTCTACTTTGTAAGTTCTCCCTACCGTGTGCGCACATGCATACACTTCTTATCTTTTATTATTGTTTCAAAATATTATAGGGGTACCAATGTTTTTGGTTATATGGATAGCTTTTGCAATGCTTGAATTAGAGCTGTAAGTCGTGTGCTCATCGCACAGATTGTGTTGGTTGTACCTGGTAGGTAGATTTTCACCCATTCTCTCCTCCCCTCTTCCCCCCTGCTGAATTGAGATCCACTGAGTTTTACTTCCTTCTGTGTCCGTGTGTTCATCTATTCCAACTTAGTAGCAGCGTGTGGTGTGTTTCTTTTTCCATCTTTGGATACTTGGAATCATGTTCTCCAGTTCCGTGCAAATTGTTGCATATGGCATTTAATCCATCCTTTTTTATGCCTGCGTAATATTCCACGGCATACATATGCTACATTTTGTTAATCTGCTCATGAATTGATGGGCACTTGGATTGATACCACATCTTTGCAATTGTGAATTGTGCTGTAATAAACGTTCAAGGGTAGGTATCTTTTTGATAAAATGATTTCTTTGGGTAAATACCAAGTAGTGGAATTGCAGGATCAAATGGTAGGTCTACTTGTAGTTCTTTGAGGAATCTCCATACTGTTTTCTATAGAGGTTGTACTAATTTGCAGTTCCGCCAACAGTGTCTAAGTGTTCCTTTTTCTCTGCGTCCATGCCAGCATCTATTGTTTGAACAAAACAAGGGTGCTCACTGTCTCTACTTCAGTTTAGCAGTGCTGGAAGTCCTAGCCGGAGCAGTCAGGCAAGATAAATAAAGGATATCCAAATCGGGAAAGGGGAAGTCAGACTATTGCTTTTTGCTGATGATAAGATCTTACATCTAGAAAACCCGTCCCCACCTCTTAAAAATCTGTTGTGAGAACAGTTGAACCCAGAGAAGTTGGGATGTCAGTGGTTTATAGTGTTAACACACATTTGGGCATTTCTCTCTCTCTTTCTTTTTTTTTTAGAGACAGTCTCACTTTGTCACCCTTGTTAGAGTTCTGTGGCATCACAGCTTACAGCAACCTCCAGCTCTGGGGCTTAGGCGATTCTCTTACCTCAGCCTCCCAAGTAGCTGGGACTATAAGCGCCTGCCACAATACCTGGCTATTTTTATTGTTGCAGTTTGGCCAAAGCTGGGTTTGAACCTGCCACCCTCTGTATACGGGGGCCAGCGCCCTACTCACTGAGCCACAGGCATCACTCGGCATTTCTCGTTATGTGCTAATAATGTCTTGTTAATAATAGAATTTCTGTTGGTCCTAATAAATTCCTCATTTTAATTCTTGTTTTATCAGTTCACTGTGAACCAGTGGATGTCTCACACGTAACCCTCATGCGTACTAGCACTTTTAGTGATGACACTAGTGATGATAGTTGTCACTTGAGCGGCACTTGAATTCTTAATTGCACTTAGCTTACTGAGTAGTGGCATTCCCATTTATAGGCCACATGACTAGGTAGGAAGGGCTTGTCCTGGGGTGTGGATTCGGGTATCCGTGGATGCCAGTTCCATCTGTTCTTCCCATTGCAACCCCATCTGTCTCTGAGTTGATTTTCCACATACTAGGACTGCATGGCAGGAGCACGAATGTCAACAAGATGAACTGACTTCCTGAGTGCTGAGTAGTTAGTGTCAGTCAATAAATAGAAGGAACGGTTACGTCAAAACGTCAAAGCCAAAACGAGCATGTTCTTCCACTGTTGCCTTCATGGCGTAAATGTGGATATAGTGTGTCCGTTTTGAGAGTTGAAACATTTGTGGCAGAAGACCAAGTTTCATCGGCTGGTTGAAACAGCGCCAGAGCTCAGTTTGTCATCGGGCTCCTCAGCTCACTGACTTTGCTCTACCTTCCTACGTCTTATGTCATTTCAGTTTTGACAGCTTTGACTAGAAAGCCTGGCAGAGCTGAGTGTGATTTCAGGACACACGCCGCACTCCTCAGCCCCTCAGAAATTGCACGCAAGAGCTATTTTTTAAACCTTGAGCTTGATCTATAACTCAGTGTTTTGATGTCATGCTTTGTTATCTAATTTTTTTTTTTTAGGATGGTTCTCTACTTTTGTTTGCATTTACATTACTTGGGTTTACCTTCTAGCTTTGTTATTCACAGTACACACCAGTGTACTGTGTTTCCAGGGTAAAGTTTTTCAAGCACGAGATATCAGACCTTACTTAGCAATGCACTTAGCTCAGTAAGTTTATAGTAAAATTTCTTTCTAGAGATGTGTTCATGTTGGCAGTAGCAGTAATACTAGCAGTAGTGAGATGATGGTGGACAATTAGTATTTATGTGCCTAGTAGGTTTCTAAATGTATAGATACTAACTGAAGCTATACAACAACTCTGTGAAGTAAATTTATTACTGCATTCATTGTACTGATGAGTAAGCAAACTGAGGCACAGAGAGGTGAGAATTGTCTGTTGGAAGACAATTTTTTTTTCCCCTTCCATTTCTAAAATCTTACAGGATTTTTGTCCCAGTGTTGTGCAGTTTCACAGTAACCTGCTTTGGTATAGGCCTTATCTCATTTATTGTGCTGGGCACTCTGGAAGCTACCAAAGCCTCAGAAGGTCTTGGTGATTATTCAGGTGCCCTGAATGGTTTTTTATCACTGGGGGAATTCCCAGTGTCAGTGCCTGACTTTGGGCTGCTCAGATTTGTCCATAAACATCTTCCATTCTCCTGTTTCGAAGTGTAGACCTGCTGTCACTTTTCTGGGGCTAAGGAGAGAAGAAGGCTTGGGAGTCCCGGCACTCAGGCTGGGAACATTTACTTATTTTTCCCTCTGCTTATTCCTTCCTTTGTCTCTGTGTTTGTGTCCCCAGTGCTGAGGCCTTAGCTTTTATTGCCAAAAGGTGAGCTTGTAGTCGCGTGTGCCCAGAGGGGATGGCTATTTGTAGGAAGTAGAGGAGGCTTCCTACAAAGAATGTAGGCAGAGAATGTAACTACGCCCTT